TGCGCCACCGGCCGCGTCATTTACACGCTGTCCGCTGCGGGGCTGTCAGTGGTGGTAGAATAAGCTGTAAAGATAGATCGGCATACGTCGTTTGCAGCTCCAGTAGTCTTCGGAACGCTTTGGCGAACGCAGCCCTATCCGCCTCCTGTACCGCACTCCAGTCCACAGGCTTCGGCCAGCCAATCTTCTCCGCCGCCGTCAATAGCTCGCTTCCATGCATATCAGTCTTCGTTTCGCTCCGAGTCTCCAAGAAGTATGGTCCACGAACCTAGTCAGCGCGGACTTGATGTCGCCCCACGTCTTATCTCTGATCTCCTGTACGAATGTTACGAGGCGCAGTGTTGTCTCTGGTTGACCCGTCGTCTCTCCGACTTGCGCGCATAATCCGGATACGGAGTCGGCGTACTGACGCAGCGCGATGTATTGTCCCACGTCAATCGGCGCCGACTCGCGCGCTTGCTTGACCGCCGCCTCGCTGGCAGATTATTAGCTATTTCGGACGAATGTCCATATATGGAGAGTGCTGAACGCACCTGAGGACGAGTGCTCTCTGCACAACTCTGACATATACACGTATGCTCTCCTGCTCCTTCAGATTCCTGTGCATCGTCTCCAGATCCTCCAGCAATGTTGGTCCTCCCACGCCATCCCCTTCCCTCGAATTCAAACTGGAGGTAAGGTCTCCGACGAGACTGTTGAGTTCATCTTGCAGCGAGTGTCGTAGTAAGCTGAGCTCTTGTGCGGTATGTACATCCTTGGCAGCCCGCGCTCGGGCGTCTGCGATTAAAGTATCGAGTGAGGCGCGCGATGCTGCGAGCTGCTCTGGTGCGCGTCAGCTCAAGTTTGATTATTATATTATATCACTGATGTCACGTACAGAAGCCTCTAATGTTACTGAGGATGATGATGCGGTTCTGACTGCCGCACCGAGAGCTGACAGCGTTTGTGTGCCCGGCCTCGCAAAGTCGCGGTTCAATATTTGGAGTGCGCGTGCATTTGAGGCCTCAGACGAGGGCGGTTGCAATAATTCGCGGATTTGCACGCTCGCAGCCATAACAGCAAGATGGTGTCAATGTGCGAGTACAAGATGCAATATCCTTGGCAAGACAAGTACAGATCGCAGGTGAACGTCGCGTCCAAGCACGAGCTGGGCAGCAACCGCGGCGTGGCGCGTCGCGTCACACGTTGACACACGTGCGCCCTGAGCCGGTCAATTGATTCAATCGATCAAAGACCCGATGATCTGGCTCGTTCATGCCGTCAAGCCACGAGGCTCAGGTGTGCCTTTGCGTGTTCCTTGCCCTGAGACCAAGCGCGAGTCTCGGATCGCTTGATGCGGCGCCTCCTTTATGCCTCCTTGAGCGCCGGGTCTCGACTCTGACATACATAGCCAAGTAAACACCATGGATACACATATCAAGCAACGGACAGCGAAGCATTGGTATGGGAGAGAGACGAATTGCAAAGGTAAATCCCGAGGACGCTTCGATGCAGAAAACGCGGCTCAATCGGGTGTGAACGAATCTCGCGATAAGAAAAGGTTAGACTGGCAACCGACAAAGTCGTCTCCGCACCGCCCGACGCTAAGATGATCTTTGACGACGACTATCACCACAGCTCAAAGCGATGGTCAATGTTCGTTGTACGGCGCCCAGCGCGTTCGTACCGTTCATACAACGGCAGCGGGTTGCGTGAATGGGTCGGAGGCGAACAAGGCCCGACGTGAACCCTGCGGGGAGCGACGTGAGAGCGCGAGGACAGGATCATCTTCGCGTTCACTCGTCATGCGCTCATGTCTAAGCGCCGGGCCTGACATCAGGGCATCAGCTGGCCACACGGCGGGGCGTATACGGTTTTGATATTTCCATCATGCATTGCAAGGTGCGAGGGGCAAGCTAGTAACAACAACAGGGATCGCGAGCAAAGTAGCGAGCGTTTGTGCGGCGGCGGGTGTGTAGGGAAGGTCCGGGGCGCGCCGTGGGGTGAGACAGTATTGGATGTTTCAATGTCCGACAGAGCAAGGGGATGAGTGTGGTAAAATACAGGTCGGGCATGGCGACGATGAGAGCGGAAGACGCGCGCGGGCGATTAGTACGCGCGTAAGACCCTATAATAGAACACAAATATTAGCCTCCGCTCGATAATAGACACAACAATTAGATACGCACAAAGGAAAGCGAAGAACCGAGACCCTGCGAGAATCGAGAAAGGGCGCGAGGGGACGCGAGAGGGACTCTACCAGTCCGTCTCGGTCACGCCGCCGCCGCCCATGCGCTTCCAGTCTGTCTCTGTCACGCCACCACCGCCCATACGCTTCTTCCAGTCGGTAGAGTGCGTCGGTCCACCGCCCATCCTCTTCCAATCCGTCTCGGTCACACCACCGCCGCCCATGCGTGCTTCATGCTATGCACACCATCAGTCCATCAATTACAATCACAGAAGGCAAAGAGAACGACATACGGGTTGGACGGGGTTCGGTGCGGCGACGACTGCTGTGGCGAGGGCTAAGAGTAATGCGGAGAATGTTGCCGGGCGCATTGTTATTGATATGCAGGTGCGGGGGGTGGAGGGATGGCGAGCAGCGTGTGTGCAATCGGGATATTTCACGCGCGTGTCGTGTCTTTATAGATCCCTGCGAGCCGGCCCTGTATCAAGATCCAAGGGCAAGGTACGCCCAACTCTCTCCCGACCAATTTCCTCCCGCGCGCAGGCAGACAGAGCCAGGCACAGTCCATTCTCTTGTCGCGCCACGCGGTCGGCTCTTTGCCCCTCCCGTCCCTTTCATATGAGACCTCTAGAGACGCACGGCTAACGCGCGGAAGGCCCATTCGCCCGTCAGTCAACTAGTCTACGCATCGCATTACATTGCATGGCTACCCGCCAGCAGCGCGGAGTAAAGGCGCAGAAAGAATCGTCGGGCAAAGTGACAGGATACGGCAGACGCGTCCCACGACCGACGCCCTGCCGCGACCATTTCACTGGCTCTGCCCTGCCCAGGATCGCGCATCCAGGTCCAGACAGTCCACTCTCAAGCTCGCGCAGTTAACGAGCCGCCAAACGCCGTGGATACATCCCAGCTCTCCACAGACATTATAAGTTATAGCCAGCGATATCGCATGAGCATGCGCGCATACAGTCGCATACAGCGGCGGGAACATGTCACTCCAACAGTGCGCGATCGAAGCACACACATCCCGGCTCCTCTGCGGCAACTCTGCGGCCGGGGGTGAGCAACATCAGTCCCATTGTTAGCGCGAGCGTCCGATCCTATTTCGGCCCGCAGCCCTTCGGATTCCCTCTCGTTCCCGTTCAGTCGTCATCGACTGGAATACGGTCTAAAATGCTTGGAACGTCGCTCGCCCGCCCTCACTTGTCCATTGTTCGCCCTGAGCACCAGGCCTGGAGCCCGCTTCACGCTCATGTACGACCCGCATCAAGCAAAGGAGAAGAGCCGCGCTCGCTCCTCACTCTGTGCCTCGCGAGTCGGACCTCCAGCCCTGCGTGCGCCTCGGTGATTGTGGGTCGGGTCAGGCAGTTAAACGCGACCCTGCGAACTTGATAACTTGACGGGAAACCTTCCCCATTCGCTGTGGCATCTCATTCTCCCGAGGTTCAATACAGATCGTCGCGGATAGCCCTTTACACTCTTCATTCTACATACATAGTTCACAATTCGTTCGCAAGCTTTGCTGCGATCGCGTGCGTTCAATTGATAGACGCATTTACTTGGGTCCATGTATAGCGACGGCACGAATGGGCCGGGAGTGCCTCTTTGACGACAGACGCTCGACGGTCGGCCGCGCTCGGCGCGCTTGGACCTTTGGAGCGTGCGCAGGGTCGAGACTCGGGCGTTCCTCGATGCCGTTATGGCTCTCCTTCGTTCATTGACATCTCCCCATCTCCACATCCTAGACTCGACATGTCGACGATCAGACGTGCATGCAAATACGAAACGGATTTTACGGACTTTCCGATACATCAACTGTAACTGCGCAGTGCTCCAATGCTCCAATGGGTCGCGATTGAGGCGTTTACAGTCCGAATGACCGAAGGGCTCACATCCCAATTGCGTACTTGCCAGGGAATGTTGTATAGCACGGTCGGCGTCGATATGGAGAGTAGGCTGGGACAGGCACTTGAGTAGGTAGATAGAATGCATACGCATGCGATAAACGTGCCGCGCCGATCCTTGCCACCGAGACTCGAGGTCACCCGCCAGGAGCACCGGCGGAGGATAGAGACATCCCATCCATCCCCTGAACCGAATGAGGTAACCTACAGTTGCAGATTGAATAGCGAAGAACTCATCCGGAGAATGTCGGTACCTAGTCCTTGCCGACTGTGTCGTTCGCCCAAAGCCCTAGACGATCCTCCGCGAGGCGCCGCGATCCTGCATAGCGTCAATAGCAGCTGCATTCGGTCGGAGCGCTCGTGGACGAGCACCATTCCGAGTTTGTAACTGAGATGCCGCTAGTCCACTCCGGACAACTCCGTCGAGCCGTCTAGAGTCAGACTGATGAGACTAGTTCAGCGCCTGGATGGAGGGTGAAACTCCTTCTGGCGCTCCGTTCGCCAGCCTGAGAGCGCAGTCTCCAGCGCCTAACTTACCGCTATCCGCGAACGTCGTCAAGCGCAGCACGCAGAGACAGGTCTTGAACGTCGGTGTCAGCGAGTGGCGCGGGAAGCGCAGTCAACACCGAAAGACTCGGACAGCTCGCAACAAGTATAGTATAAGCAGCTTCCCTAGTACAAGTACAGTACACGTCGAGTACGCCCGATCAATCCTAAAAAGCGACGAGGGAAGAAAGAAGTCGTTAATAGTCTGCTTCGCACGGTGAACTTGGACGACGTACCCAGAGCTTGATGAGCCCGTCCCAGCTCGCAGTGATAACCTTCGAACTCTCGTGCGGCAACCACTCATGCGCAATGACGACCTTCGAATGCGCCTTCAACCGACTCTTAATCCGCCCCGTCTTCCAGTCCCAGAACACAACGTCCCCGCTCGAATCGCCGCTGCTCAACCACTTCCCGTCAGGGCTGAACCCGACCTGACACGCGTACCCCGCGACGCTGTGCCCGGCGAAGCGCTTCTTGCGGTTCTGGCGGAAGTTGTCGGTGCTGTAGACGAGGATCTGGTTGTCCATGCTTTGCGCTGCGAAGTACTTTTTGGACGGGTGGAGCGTGACGGCGGGCATGGAGTGCATGTGCGGCTCGGCGATGTATTTGATTACGACGGGGATGTCGAAGTCCCATGCGCGGATCGTCTTGTCGTCGGAGGTCGTGACGAAGCGCCGGTTCTCGTCGACGAAGGTGATGGTGTTGACCGGTCCGAGATGTTGGTCGTACTCCTGCGTGATCTCGCTCGTGTTGAGGTCGTACTGCAATCGAACATCCAATCAGCGTTGCTATAGGATATTTGAGCGTGTGAACGCGAACGTACCTGCACGATCTTCTTGTCACTCATACCCGCCAGGAATATGTTCTGGTTGTCCGGATGGAAGCGCACGACGTAGGGTATCTTACCGTTGCTCAGGCGCTGTATACACTGGCCCGTCTCCGTATCCCACAACTTTATCTGTCGGTCATACCCTATACGTAGAACGTGCGAGTCAGAATCCACTGCGCAGTGAGAATGACTACGAAGGGGAGGGGAACGTACCGCAAGAGAGGAACTTGCGACCGTCGTTGGTGAACGTCACGTCCTTCACTGCCTTCGTATGTCCGTGGAACGTGCGCAAGCAGTTACCGTGTGTATAGATATCCCAAAGCTGCGAATCGTCAGCTATGGGACGAAAGGGGCGCAGTAACATTCATAAAACACCCACTTTGATCTTGGTGTCCATACTCCCACTCAGCAATAAGTGGCCCGTCTCGGGGAAGGTACGGATGACGCTAACGCCCTGCGTATGTCCGGTCCAGGTATGTATACACGTCTTGGGTATGAACGTCTCCTGGCTGCCCATCTCGTTCTGCAGATGCGGTGCCTCGGATAGTGGTGGGTGCATGTATGTCCTGCCCTGGTAGTCGTACATGTTCTTCCCATGGAACACCGTCGTCTCCTGCCCGTTCGCGCCCGTGCTCTTCTTCTTGTGTTTCCGCACGGCCGGCGCAGGCCCTTCATCCTCGCTCTCGTCCGAACTCGGCAAGTCTGCTGCACCAGCAGGGATGATACCGCTCGTAAGGACACTCTGCGGCTCATCGCCGTCCCAACGCGCCCAAGGACCCTCGTACGCGCCATCACCCTCGACGACTTCCAAATCACCCTTTGCCTTCCTCTTCCTCTTCAACTCCTTCTTCACTCCATGTTTCGCACGGTGCATGTCGACCGTCATAAAGTTTGCGGCCGCGGCTGCTTCTGCGTCACCGACGATGGCTGGCGCGTTGGGGTCGATGGACGGGTTGGCGCTGAAGCCGAGGATGGCGTGTGTGAGGTGCTGTTGGCGAAAGGCGTGCTCGGTCATGGATTGCTCTTCGACGTGACCGGCGAGCGCGTTCTGGTTGGGGAAGCGGTCGCGTGGCGCGAAGGGGTTTTCGGGGCCTTGGGTGGGCAGGGTCATGTCGGCGTAGGGGATGTTGACGTTCATTTGGGTGTCCGTCGGGCGCGTGATGAGCGACGTTTGGTGTAAGGGATCCTATATGATCCATCATATTGAGTACATATGTTATGTGATCAAGTATAAGTACGCACCTCTGCCAGAACGTGCGGCGCTGCTACCTTCGGCACAATAGCGCCAGTCGATGATGGCGCGGCATTATCCTCGATACGCGGTTTCTTCAGAGCAGGGGCGGCGTTCAAGTTGAAAGCATCTTTGGCGTCATAGTTGGCGTCCTCGTCGGAGGAGTAGCCCTGAACGAGAGCCATTGTAGCAAGCGCCGGTGGTGGTCGAGAGCAACTTCGACGTCGCGTGCGCGCGTCTAACGCAGGGCGCGCGCCACGAGACGCGTCCTTTCTCTCGACCGTCATCACATTCGGCAGTGTCGCTCTAGAAATGGCCTGAGCACGCCATTGAAATCTACATGTACCCACTGAGTGTCTATCGACGTCTATCTTCGAGATGGACAAGGCTAAGCTTCGTACTGGGCCTTTGGTCTTGAAGCGCGTACGCGTTCTGCGCATGCCAAATGCGGGACGCGCACCAAGCGACGTTTCTCCCGAACCACCACCATCCCCATGTGCTCTCGGGGTGTCTCACTCTAGCGATTGAACGTATGATAAGAGCTGTACTCTTGAATGACCACCTGATGTGCATTGCACTTGCATCAAGTAGTATGGCTCACCACCAACCGCGCTGCGTCAGCCTGCGCCTCTCCTAGAAGAATGTTTTCGGCGTTCATTACCTGCCGAGATTCAACTCCGACTGTCTATGAAACACGATGGAAATCGTCGAGAAGACGAGATGTTGTGACCGTATCGTATGCCTGGCTTCTCATACGCCTCGAACCGGTCATCTATTGATCTAGTGAGCACAGCATAGTCATCGCCGAGGGAGCAACTATCCTCTCAAATTCGCATTCGCGAGGTCGCCGTTCACAAGGCCAGGCTGAAGGATCTAGATGCCAACTACCTCATGGTGTTACGACGCAGATATCAGACACACAGGATATCGGAAGCAATCCTCCCGTGGAAGATATATAATGGAACGTGACGAACCGGTGTACGTGCTTTCTTTCGCGCGATGACGGGCTGGACGGATTCTCAAACTCTTCGCATTCAAGCTGGTATTGTCGGCATTTACCGCTACCTCTCTTGTGTGTCAATTGAATGATGGTGCTAGATGCACTTGTCAAAATGACGCTGGTGATTTGCGGCGTGTGCATGTCAGTCGCTTCAAGTACCTCAGGCTTTGAATTCCAAACCAAAGCTGAGACCACGCATTTACAGATCCGAATACATGGGATCTTTCTGGTTTGACTATAATATCGCCACTGAACTTGACTCGCGGCCTCCGCTGACCAAGAGCGTGAAATGGGTATGTAGCAAGTCTGGTCTATTACAACACGTCCCACCGAGCTGAGCTCTACAGATGTACATGTTCTGTCGCTACAGCAACTTGATGCTGTGCGCAGCTATGGTATTGCTAGACACTTACCATAGAACACCTCATTGCTTAGTGAGTTTGTCAATCCTTCATAGAGGCGCGAGCTAATATTCGGGCAACAGTTACTCATGAGTGTGATCAATGTCGCTGGATCTTGCGCGGTCGCGTCTGGGAACTTTCTGCTATTGATCAGAGTGTGCGTCTAATCTTGCTCCTACCCTGCGCTCGGGAATCTGAACGCGTGTGTAGTGGCGTTCTATGGCGTTGGGATAAACGTATCATCACGTTTTTCGCCCTTATGTTTCTTGGAAGCGCGATAACAATGCTCCGTGGTGAGTTTCTTTGCCTACTTGTAAGAGTGCGGACACTCGCTTACGGATATAACTGGAAGCATTTGTGCTGGTGAGGCCGCTCAGTGACCATTGGCGTCTGAAGCAATTCTTGACATGTTGCCTTAGGTCAAGTCTCATCCCGAGAACGAGCTTCTAGGCCCAGTGTGCGAACTCGCTCAGCTGAGGTTCGACCTGCCAAACTTCTACATGTTTCTATGTTTAGACTTCTCGCTCCTCGTCTTCCTATTTCTCGGGCTTTATCGATGGAGCCGAGGAGGTACGTTCGAAGTTTGGAAGGTCCTTTGGAATCAGGTCTGCTACGCATGCATCATGGCGTGTTCATTAGTTGACATGCTATTCTTCGTAGGGGCTTGTGTATCTGGCTGCAGTGATCATTCTAGAGATCCCAATGACTGTAAGGGGTTACATCTTAGCCGGATGCATACCGCAGGACATTGACTGTCCGCATAGTTCTTCCTGACGCGGAACTATAACGGTCTGTCTTCTTACACGTCTTGACTAAATCGCAAGGATTCACTGAATTGTACAATAGAATACATGAATAACGTAAGAGCCATCCTTTCTCCAGATCGTGTACCCCATTCTCATCTGTGATCATGGCACTCAGTTCTTCGCCGCTTTGGATGGTGAGTGCAACCGTACGCAGAGCACCACATCAGTTTGCTCACGCCATCTCTTAGGTATTGTACTGTGCGTCGCCGCGGCTAACGAGGCTCGATATTCGCTGACGTCCGCCACTTAGACCCCTCGTGACTACGCGATTTTACCGCTCCCTGACGACATTCGCAAACGGACACCATACTCACGAGACTACGTGGGTTCTTGTCTGCCCATCAGCCTTGTTCGCTCAGCTAACTATCCTGCGCCCATACCAGATATTACTGGACGGAGATGCCACAGTGGGCGGTACGGGTCCCCGACGTGGTCACTATGCGCACGACCTTCAATGGAGAAGACAATCTCGAAGAACAAGGGCACACGAACGAGGTTTTGTAGCGCTGCTTTAGCATTGGAATATTCGAGAGAGCCTTCAATGGGATCTCAGTATGGTTAGCGCTTGAGGATGTCACCAGTATCCCGTCGCATGCAAACATCCCGCGCATAACTGCATTACCAGGGCCCAAAACGCGCGTCTAGATACCACAGATTGTCGCCTCTAACGCACCACACCCCTTTCGTCTTGTACTTATCGGTATGGCATATGGCTTATAGAACATAGCCATAGCGACAGCATGAGGGGTGAGCGCTAAGCGTTGAGACTAGATCCAGCTTCGGATCGACGGCCCGGCTGCTTAAGAGTTGGGCGCGCCGGTCCTATTTTATACACCATTACGTTCGCCTAGGTACAACGTCCCATCGAAGTAGATGTAGAGCTTAGAATAACATCCTAAACGTCGCGATAAGTGAAGGTACTGGTCGAGATCAACGTCGGAATCGGCGGTCTGACGCGCCTCGTCCGAAGTTGGCAGTCGGCGCTCACGCGCACGCGGTCTCGGCCGAGCGATGTCGAAGGGACACGTCGGCATCTGCAAGTCCACACACGCCGTCATGGCCTACTACCCAAGCTGAAAAGTATCGCTGCGTATCAATGCCGAAGAGACTACCTGCGAGATGGAGCTACGTACCGAACCTGCGGCTTCGCCAGAACACAACCGTGGCTAACGGACCATGGCTCCGCCGCGAACGCGCGCGTCGCGCGCCCCTTCAACTCGTCCTGCTAGCCGTCCGCTGCGAAGTCGGACCTTGACAGGCTCGCGAGGGGTCAATGTCATTGGGTACTACCGCGAAGTACACAATATGACGCTTTACGACATCGTCTATTATCGAAGTCAACAATATGTGGATCACAGACACGCGTCTTGGCGTCCAGTCAACGGTTGGCCTGGCAGGACCTGCCATCTAGTAGAGGCAGCTGCCCGCTGATCGGTATAAATGTGGTGCGGCTTATGGCCTGATGCAGTAGCTGTGAAAGCTATCGTGTTCTGCGCTGAATTTAGGCTATGTTTCCTGGTTATCGCCTTCACGACCGCCTAGTAAACCACCTAACCACCACGGGAAGACGTGCCCATCGGACGTGCGCCTAGTCGCCTAACCTCTGATGGGGACTTAGCGAGCTCTGGGAGTCGTACGCACTGACGTATGTGTCAAGTCACCAAATCACTCAGCAATTGAACTGTCTGACGTATTTCTCCTGTCAGGTTTCGCCATGCTCAATCGACGATATATCCCCCTGTGAGCGGTGCAGCGTTCATGTGCTCATACATACCTGACGAGGATGTTTACAGTGCCGTACAAGTAACGCATCTGTCACAGAATAACTGGATCCTATCCATCATGGTCGCCCTGCGTCACACGGTGGTTGATTACTCCTGCGGTTCGCTGCGCGTATGGTTAACATGCGACGGTGCACGAGGCATGCCAATAAACCACTCTCACCAAAATTTATTCTGTATTTAACCGGGCCTCGAAGATTCAGAACCGAACGTGTTCGCTACGCTCACCGGTCGTGCTCTTGCGCTCCTCTTGCGGCCTTCACTATCACCATGGTCGGGCAGACCCAGCCTCAGCAAGGCAGTTTGGCCTACTCGGCGTCGACATCGGACAGAGCTCCCGTCAATCAGGGCCTTCCCTCTGATTCCTCGCTTGTAATCGAAACTGACTCCAACGGCTTTCTCACTGCCGATTCATTTGCCGCCTTTGTCCCGCCTTTATTCGACGCCGATAGCTTCACTAAACTCGGCGACCCGGGTCTGTATGCCGCTCTGGAACGCCTCAGTAGCGAAGAACTCGCGTCCTTGACCTTTACATCTCACAGCGGCGACCCGGTAGAGCAGACCGGGGCTCCTGTGAGTCGTCGCTAATCACGAGTAGCGGCCGTTTTGCTGACCAGATAATCCAGGCGCCCAATCCACCCCTTCCTGCCCATCCGTCGCCGCAGTCTCAGCTCGCAGATACCCAATCCTCATCTACGTCTGCCGCTATCCCGTCTCCATCTGCCGGTATTCCCTCTTCCACCTCGACCGTCACCAGCAATACTCTCCCGAAACCGGACGAACTTGAATTGGAGTCTGTGGCCGTTCCAACCCTGCCGGAGGAATTCATCGTTCCCATAGAATTCATGTATAAGCTGCCCGTATGTCGCGATCTGCCGAGGTTGCCCATGAAGAGTTGTATCTGACATACCCCTTCTAGCATGAACTTTCTCTGGATGACCAGACACAACTACTATCTTTCATGCTCATAGAGCATCATCTGCGCGACATTCTGCCCTATATCTGCAAGTCGCAGGTCTGGTGCCGTATCGAAGACACCCTTGTCGAATCCATTCGCCCAGCGATCCGCGGTACTCCCCTGGCGAACGATAATAAATGCAATGGACTATACATTGGAGATGTGCGTTTGATCTTCTTCGTTTGAAACTCGCATGTAGCTCAAACTACTAACTCATAGCTTGTTATAGTTGAGCGCGGTCAACTTGGTCATCGAGTATTACAAATGCAAGGATAAATGCTGCACGCTACCGACACAGAGCGAAGAATCAGCAGAAACGCGCCATAAGACGTTCGCCGACATACATCTCATGCGTGTTCGGCCGTATTGCTTGATGAGTCTGAAGGAAGTTGGTGAACGCAGGTAACTTTGGCCTGGTGGCACTCAACTCTAGCGGACCTAATATAAGTTGCACAGGCACACTGCAGACAAGTCGGTTAATGGGACTTACTACGGAATGTCAGAGCCACGTGCCAAGAAGCTTAGCGGATACCTGAGGAACAAGGCTATTGGAAAGGAGCTTGAGGAAGTCAGGATCTGGAAGGCTTCCCAAGTCGGCGTCACAAATGAAGATGTCGCCGCACTCATGGCTCGCTGGGACGTTCTTCCAGACAAGATCGCGGAGGAACTCGGGCCTAACTACTTCGTGTTCCCCGAGCGCTTTGTCCAGATGCGCGACGTGCTCTGTGCTCTCAGCGATCGCTGCTTCCCTCAACCCAAGAAGAGAGGCAGGGTCGTCAGCTCGGCTCCACCACCGCCGACTTTCGTGCCTTCGCCGCCAGCCGAAATCGTTCACGCCGTGAAGGCTGCGCTTGACATGTGGCCGTCGTTTCGTCAGGCCTTTGAGGAGCAAATATATCAATCCCAAGGACGTTGAAGGCTCGACAGGACCCTATGTGTTCGCATTTCGTTGATCACTTGTGTGGCATGGCTCGTTTGAACTCGCTTCCTGAACGCCGTTCCTTCTATCTACTACTTACTGTAGCTCTCATGATACATCGTTTCAACCCGAACATCCCCCTTACGTCATCGTCCCAGTTATCAAGCTCATATTGCCTTACACCGGACTCCGCCCCAGTCTTTCTACCTATGTATCATCTACATCGTCTCTGACCGTCATGTTCAACCCCTCAGCGCCTCCTACTTACCACCCCTACCAGACCTCGGTCCTCAGTTGTGTATCGCATTTTGTATCTAGCGCTCTCTATCTTCATACATATTTACCTAATGTCCTTCTATCCGTCTCAAGCAACGCAGTCGAAGCCTACGGCGTCTGCTGGCGGCAATAAAGCCATCGGGCCCGACGAATGGCACCGGATCAATCAATCAAGCCAAGTTTCGCGCTGGGTTGCGTCTCTGTATTGTGCTTTCTACCTCCATGTCGTGAGGACAAGCTGATTATACCTTGACAATGCACGGCAGGAAGACTGATTGGCCAATGGTATTCTACGTAATGTGCTTGTGCCCACTTTCGGCGTTGCGCTTGCCCCAGTCGCCTCAAAGCCGACGCGCCTGTCGTCCTTCCTCGCGCTTGCGGCTGCTCGCGGCGTCCGTTCATCAGATGCACCTGTAGGTGACTGTATACCAACGGCGACGCTCTCACACTATAGCGAGTCCGGTAATATAGTACCGTTGCTATGCGTTGGTTCTCAGAAGATCTTCATCCGCATAAGGCAATCTCAATGGTAGAGTCGTCGACGTTTTCATCATAATTCGTACCTCAGCACTACCTCAGCGCTATTCGACAGCGTACAATCACTCGACGGCGTTCACTGCCTTGATCATGAGGTATCTGTCACTTCTCGGCTGCGCCCTTCTGAAGTTGCTCTTAAGAAGACTTGCTGCGACATGCTTCTCTCGTTCATCCCTTCGCGTTCGCCGCTCAGGTAGTCGCCATGGTAGCCCGCTGGTCGGATGAAGAGGTTCAGTTTGGACAAGCAGGTAAGCGGCGTCTTGACTTAGTATGCGGAATAGCTGAACAAGAGATCACCAGTCGCGTTCAACAAGGAGCTTTTGGTGTGCATTGGGATCTACGTGTACGAGCGCTTCCATTTGTGCCCGCGTTGGCCGATGATCGATGATCACTGATACCGGTCCTCCGGCTTCCATAGCCACGAATTCGTATGCTCTCTCCGGTTCGACTGGATGCTGTTGAGAAGAGACGACTCTCAGCGCGCTCCTCTGGCTAGATGCGTGAAATGGGTACGTTCAATTCGCCGATCTTCGTCCTAAGCGCCGAAAGTCTAATCGACGGCCCTCTAGCTCTACATGCTTTGTCGGTATTCGGCTCTGGCGACGTGCGTCACCGTATCCGTCATCGGTCTATCGCAAGCCCATCTGGACTGCCAGGTCTGTTCTGTATCGCTCGCCGCATGCTTGCAGAGCTGAGTAATCCTTCTAGACAATGATCAAGTTCATCAATGTCAGTCGGCGCGTCTATGCGTCGCGGCTACTATATCATAAGACGAGCACTTACAGTGTTGTTCAGGGCACTGCATTGGCCGCGGTAACCAGTGCGACGGTGCTGCTATTCGTGAGAGTGTGCGCGCCGTTATCAGGGCGATGAGTAGAGCATGGTTTCTGAGCGCGATCGTACAGAGGCGTCGTCTGGGCGTGGGACAAGCGCCTCACGGCGGCATTCGCTCTGGGACATCTTGTTGTCGTCGCTGTAGGGATCCGAGGTGAGCTCTCCAACTCACAAGCCGAATATCTCATGGTACTCATCTGTAATTGCTGCAACAGGTGTCGTATTGGTCAGAGAGAACCTCCTGCTTGCGTGTGCGGCACCATCCGCTCATCCGAGTTTGCCATCCAGGTCGAAGGAGAATACACCGGGATCCCATCGATCCCTGCATGCAACACGCTACGTGCGGTGTATGATGCGCCATCTGTCTTGAGCAGTCTAGTACTGGACGCTGCGCTGCTTTTCATGCTTCTTGTGGGACTTCGGCGCTGGCATAATCCTAACGCGTCGGCCATCTGGCGTCTCCTCTGGAACCAGGTAAGCATGTGGCACTTGAGTGTTGCGTAGACTGAGATGAGCTGACGTCGATACAAGGGACTGGTGTACCTGGCTATCACTATCATCGTGGAGATACCGTTGACCGTGAGTATCTTTTACTCGCAGAGCTAGTTCGTCGCTTGATGATACGCGGCGTAGGTCTTGCTGTTTCTGAGCGATCATGGTACGTTCCCCAGCTTACTATCTTCGCCGGAAGTACTGACGAATGCTCATAGAGATAGTGTTCTTGGTGAGTGCTTTGCGCACACTCAACGAACGTGCGCGACTGAACTGAGGTAGTTCCTTGACTTACCGTTCAGTATGTCGCCTCCTGGTTTTGGCATGACACCTTGCAATGCTGACAAGTAATCCTCAGCGCTCATGCTGTAAGAAATGTTCATGCCATACCGTAATGCATACTTACCAATCATCATGAAAAAGCCCTATGGCCGCGACGCGCTTATATCGCTCTTTGACGACATTCTCAAGCGGAAAACAAGGCGGTCTGGAGTATGAGTCCATGTATGCAATCAAGCTTTACATCAAACCAGATTGAGTCGCTCACTCGTTGTCACAACTGTAGGTATAAGCCACCGGAAGCTAGTTCATTGGGCGAGAGGTACGAGTTGGACATACAGCTTGGCGTGCCCTTGGATACTCTGCCTACGAGTAGTAATAAACGCATCGCGCGATCGGAGGACTCTCTATAGCTTACGAGATGCATGTTGTGTCTGAATGAACGGATAGGAGTAGCGGATTAGCCCTAGATCGAGAAAGGCGTCTGTCTATGCAAGTGTCGTAGGGCCGCGCGTGCGTTCGGTCGTTCTATCTGGAGGCCATCGTCGCTACTTATTTAGATCACCCTGGAAACGCGCCGGCGGACGCCCCCGGGCGAGTTGAGGCTACAAGCCATGCCCGACTTGAACTAAAGGAACGACGGACGCATTCGAATGCCCTCAAAAGTGGATATGGTATACGATCATCCAAATGATTCAATGGGTTTGAGCGAGGCCCGAGGCGATGGTGGTAGGAAGATGAGACGTACAAGAGTCGCGCCGAGCGGCAGGGAACGAAGCGGGCGGATTCGATCAGCGCCCGGCACTCTCTTCCTCCCATCATCATCATGGGCTGGGCCATGCTTGGGTCCTTGCCTCAACCGCTGTCATTCTCCAGATGTATAGACACCTTCTACAATCTCGTACAGTTCGAATTCTATAAGGAAACCAGTCACCGTTGCGCTCTAGCGCTCGTCTTTCGCGCACGTCCATTCCTGCTCCATCCGACTCCGAGCGACCGCCGTCTCTCACGCAACGGCGCCCTATATGGTGCCGGTCTTGCCAGCTGCCCATGAACTAAGCGCTGAGTGGGAGATGACGCGCGCATCTACGTTGAAGGACGGCCACGGCCGACTTTGAAGAGCTGGCTCACGGCGTCCATGCTACCGTCGCGCAGTGAAGCGCGGAGGTATCCTCCAGTTGGATAGCAAGAAACGTTTGGACGCAGCGGAGATTAAGACGAAGTCGAGTTGCCGATATGAGCAAGCCTTCCGCGTCCTCAGAAGGCTCTTTCTCGTCAGTCGCAGGACGATCGGCTTCGATTGTGTTCGCGCGCGAGGTACCACACGATAGCTAGACAACTCAATTACGTTTGCCGTGCAAGGCAGTTAGGCTCGGCCGACCTGTATCATCCACGTTCCAACTGTTCTTGAGCACGTACGAAGCGTTTTCGCCTGGGGAGTAGATGGATATTCTCATACATCACTGCCTCCATCATGATCGAACTCAGATTGGCCAGATCGTCCGCTGACGGTATTCGCAGGGATGAGACTACATATAGCCTACCCGCTTTTATATTCGTATAGCTGGTACTGCTTCTCGCCTGGCTTCGTGACGCATCGCGTCTGGCATGACGGATTGGACGAGCTCACAGACGCTAGCGCTTCAGGGCGGTCAGTCGACAGTCTTGTCTTTTCCTTGATGGCCCGCACTGACATGGTTCGCCAGCAATAGCGCAGAAAGTGTCTCTCATCCTCGTCGGTGTCTGCATGTGCGTATTCTGTGGGCTCTGAGCTTTCTCATGAACACTCACCCTACTTTCTCGGCAGACACGAATTCCTTGCTTCGATCGCGTTCGATCTGAGGTTGGTCACGAAGTTGGACTCGCGACCTTTACTGGTCAGGGCCGTCAAATGGGTACGTTCGGCTTCGCATGCTCCCACACGGATGACCCAGAGATACTAATCTGCACAGGTATACATCTGTTGTCGGTACTGCAATCTCGCTACGTGTCTGGGCCTGGTCTTCCTCTTTGGTTCTCACGGGGTTTCGCATTGCTCGGTACGTTCTTAGCACTGGCTCGTCATGTACAGGGGAGCTAAGTGAGTGCGATAGGTAGTTGTACGTGTGACTACTGTGCGTTCCAACGTAGCTATGAGTTCAACCTCGTACTGACTACTGATCCTCCGCTTGTAGTCCTCATGTACCGCGGCAGTCCTATGCGGGAGCGTGCTCTTGTTCATCCGAGTGTGCGTATCATCTCGTGCCTGATCCGTATCTTCATCCGTGACTGAAGAATCTTCAGCGGTGTTATTTGGAAATGGGATGTGCGAATAAAGGCGGTGTTTGCACTTCTATTCTTCGGCATCGCCGCGGTTCTGCTTTACAGTGCGCCCAAGTTCGCGTCTCCGATGATTCTTCACTCTGATACGACTATCCAGCACTCGTCTCGGTACGCCATTCAATGCCTCGTCTTCATCGGGACAAGTTGCGATTGAAGCGACTATAGGTACACTCAACGTTCGACGCGACTCCCGGTCTTACCGGATCGGCCTGCGACTTGAGCGACATCAAGTCCGATCTGCCATACCTCTGCGCCTTTCTTGCTTTGGACGCGTCACTGCTCTTCTTCTACTTCTGGGGATTGTGGCGCCGGCGCTATGAGAGCAGTTCGGCGCTTTGGGACACTTTGAGACGACAGGTGGGTAGTTGTAGCCACATTTGAAGTGGCGATACGTACTCATCGCACGTATGCAGAGCTTCGTATACCTTGCAGTGGCGGTTGTATTGGAGATACCTGCGCTGGTGAGCTTCATCCGTGATCTCGGATTACCTGTATCACTGATTGCGAATAGGTGTTTGTTGCCCTTGATTACAATGGTACCGCTTGCCATCTTCTCGTTTCAAGCTTTGTTAATAACCTTAACTACCACCAGAGTTTGTCATCCTGGTACGATCGTGCTATCCTCATACTCACTGTCCTGTACACTGACGCCCTATCAAGATCTTCATGGTGCCATATAGTGAGTACAATCGACCCATCTGCCGTCTTCTATCGTCTTCCAGTTGCTCACTCCTTACCAGTCTGCATGCTGTACGCATATCGGTCCCTTACTTGCAGGCGTTGGCTCCTAACATGCCGTTTGAAGACCCATAGCAACGGCACGTCTCTACCGCTCCTTGACAAGCTTCATCACGATGAGTGATCAATGTACAACGTCCGAGTTCGTACACGTCTACTTAACATTCTTCGTATGGCTTCCTTGCTGATTACCAGGGTCACTCTAGATCCGCGCTGCAGGACTCAAACCATAGAGACCAGTGACTTCACAGTCAATACTGAAATAGGAAGAGGACTCCGGGGGGGGGGGGGGGG